TTTATGAGATAAAGGAGAAACTATCTGTATTATTTATCTATAAATAAAGACAAAATAACACATTTAGCGGTTTGTCGTGTTTGTTAAAATTTGACGAGCTGGCAGCCCCTTTTTGTCTCTAAAATCTTCACATTTTTTCATCTTTAGCCACGATGCAGAGCTGTTCAGTAAAACTGAACTAAACCCCTGTGATCTTAAAAGGAAACGAGGAAAAATTAATGGCTAGACCTCCGCTGCCTGTACTTTATGATGGATGACAGCAGGAGGAGGGGTGGCGGGTGATTTCTACAGTATGGCGGATCTGAAAATTTAAATTTCAGCTCCTTCAGGATCAGGCTAAATTTGTGCTGACAGGTGATAATTTAAACACAGTGGAACAGCTGGTTTTCGGAGCCGCACCGTACATTCAACTAGATCGGCGTCTGTGTGCGTGTACATGTGCATTATCTTGAGCCCGAGTGTGCGCGCTCGTATGATGAAGCTTGTCATATTTCCTTTCAGCGACTTCCATCCGCTCACAGCGTTTGACTTCATGCATATGCAGGCGAGGCAGCCTCAGAAGCCGGTGAAGGCTTTTCAGAGAACTCGGGCTGCACGCTCACATCTCCAGCTCCAGAGATATTTTTCCTCTTTTCCCCTCCACATTCAAGAGTCTCACTTCATCTACAAACCTGCAAAAACTTTCTGTGACTTCAAACTGACAATTTTTTTTAAGCTCTACTCCTGAAGGGAAATTTTTTTAACTTAAATGAATCATGTTGTGAAGATGCTGCTCTTGTCATAAACTGAACTCCTATTAAATTAGCATAAATCCGTCTCAGTGTTTATTTTAACTTCTGCATTTAAATGGCCAAAGCTGTGATTTAAGCTTTATGTAGTTTCAACCTGCAGTGTTGCCAGCGTACAGACTTTGTTGCGAGATTTGGCAAATTTTATGATCCCTGTAGAGACTAAAGCTACAAATCCAGCAACTTCTTGGAACGTTTTAACTCTCCTCCCTCTGCAGAGACTCCAGTATTTCTCACTGAATGTCTCTGTATCTCCTCTGCTCATGAAACTTCAGTTTGTGCAACAACCTTCATTAAAGAGTTTTTACTTTAAAGGCAGATACAGACGCATTTTAAGAAGATAGCAGCTCATTTTTTTAGTAGTTATGCCAAAATTTGAAATATTTTTTTCTGTATTGATGTAAATAGTTGTATAATATCAAAAAATATGCATGTAACATCAATTAATCTAGATCTGGTTGGAAACATTGCGCACAGCTGGAGATTGATGCTAGCAGTTTATGAGTGATTTGAGTCCTCTATTTACCACAGGGTGAAGATGTGTTCAGCATCGATGTGGTGACCACAAACCGTGATATATCAACGAAATTTAGCAGCATGTAGCAACGCCAAAGGAGTTAACCGATGGCGATGTGAAATGAGCAGCTACCAAGTGAAACTAATCTCAACTTTAAGGCCAGTGGAAGCAAAGGATACCGTTGACTGACATGTGACGCCCTCACTGAGTTCCCTAAAGGTTTATCACGAGGCATCAGGGGATGCAACTTTGGCTTCTACCGTTTTCTACAACTGCACTAACAACTCATATCAATATCACATCCCACTTTTGAAAAAGTTACAGCTTTGATCTATAAGTTGTTTTATGTGTGAACTGAGAGGGCGAATTGTAACGTGTGAAGCAAATCCCAACCAGCTGGACTCAGAAGCATTCGGAGGTGGTAATATAGAACATAGTTACCTAGGCAACTACATCCTGGACTGCCACCAGTGACCGACTGTCAGCTACAAAGCGATGCCGCAACAAATGAATCGTTTTCCAAGTGGACGTCGCTTTGCATAAAGGCAGTGCCCAAAATCCTCTCATATTTACAGCAGTAGACAGTGGTTGTTCGCCATTTTATTCAAGAGGCAGACTTAATCTCAAACTCTTATGTTGATCATGTGATGCGCACTTGTCCAAAAAATGCTGTTCCTAAACACAAAAGAGCAGCTGTAAAACAGTGAAACCACACAAAATGACTTATTATATTATCGCAATTGGATCAATTTGGTCAACACTCAGTCTACAAGAGTCTCAGTAATGTCACAAATATGGAATATGTAATCTTGGATCACTGTCTTTTTTTTGTTTGTTTATTTTTTTTTTACCATCAATCAAACATTTATTTCGTCCATTGTGTTTTTGCATATATAAAGTCAACAACTTGCAAGTCTTATACAAAAACTTTCCCAGATTTTTAGGGCTTGTTTCTAATTATTCCAACAATGGCGCCATCATAAAAATGCCCCATTAATGCAAACTCAAAGCATGATGGTTCCTACCACATGCTGAATGTTGTAAAAAGACAGGTGCTGTAAATCACTGCAGGTAAATGAACAGAAATAGGCAACACAACATGTTTTACCAGCAGTCAAAACCTTACAACATTACTTTCTGGCCACAGTGTCTTTTACTTTGTGTAAATAAGTCTGTTAGATGACTTCTATTATTCTCTTGTACGTAAAGGCAATCATACGAGTGAAATAGCCTGTTTAGATCGAATGTTTTCCCATTTATTTGCGAGCCGCGCTGTAATAATGCCACGTGTGACTTATGAAAATAATTTCTCAGGAAGGAATGCAGGCGGAATCACAAGTTGCATCCATCGGCTGAGAGATGACTCATGTAGAATCAGCTGAAAAAGCTCAACCGCACAAAAACAACCTTTAAATATTACAGGGTCAACAAAGTTTTAATAGGAGACGTAGGCTCTGCCCTCCATTTGATTTGTGGTTTTCGGTGCATATTTGCGTTGTTTACACATGCCAGCAGTCTTAATTTGGTGATATTTCAGAGCGGACCTGTCACTTCATTTTAGAATAAGCCTATAAAGCAACGGAGGTGCTGACACATGAGAAGAGATATGAGAGGTAGGATTAATCATGTGCCACGGAATGTGTATAAGGAGGGACGTAGCTCTGCTAAGCTGCAGGGAAGGAGGCAGCGAGGGAGGGAGCTGAGACACCAACACTTTGATGGATGAGCGTTGTGTGGATTTACTGCTCTGCCTACCTACGCTCAACTCTACCCCCGGCCAGCTGAGGTTGGTACTAAACTAACAGTACGTGCCAGGAGGAGCAGCAGAGGATCTCATCAGCCATCTGACCAGGACAAGTGGGCAGGAGAAGGTGAGAAATCAAGGTCAGGTAGGGAAGCACCATGTTCTGATGTGTGCCAGGCAGAAGATGTTATATTAGACCAATATATTACTATTAAAAACACACAAAAGAGGCAAAATACTACAAATACTCCTGCTTAATATGCTGTTGCTAGTTTGCCTGCCACCAGAAAAACTCCGATCCACTGGAAGATTGACTCCACAAGACCTCTGAGGGCGGCCTCTGGTCTGTCTCACCAAGACAATAGCAGTAGATTCTTTAAGTCTGGTACATGCATAAGCTGCAACCTTAAAACCAGCTGCCAGATATTGTGCGAGTCACCCTCATGCCATCAAAACAACAATAATTCAAAGGAGCCATTCCCACCATTTAATTAAATGCATAATTGCATGACAAAATTTTATTGAAACCTTTTAAGATGCAAACATTATTTCAATGCGTTGAGTCAACACACTAATTTTGTTAATTGCATTGACTTGCTATTGCTTTCTGCGTTCGTTGATTTAAAACTAAATGTATCAATAATAATAATAATAATAATAATAATAATAATAATAATAATAATACATTTGGCTCGATAGCTTAATTCTTTTCATCTTGAGTTTAGTTCCATGCAGTTAAGACTGTGTGTCAGAAGGTAAATAGGATACAGTGGATATTTCAAGGTGAGTATTACAGAAATAAAATTCACTCAAGCATCGACTTTTGGGAATATTTTCAGTTATCATGCAATCAACAGTGGACTCCGGTACAGAGTTTAGGCTACACCTGCCGACACAGTTGATGGAATACATTGGAATATGTATGTTGTATGTTGTGTAGCTAATGCTAGTCGTATTCAGCAGTGAAATTTGACCATCCTCCTCGTAAGTTTAGCAAACTAGTGGGTAAGAACGAGAAAGTTTCATTGTACAAATATGTTTGTAACTTGTAGGATAATTTGAATTTAGGTTGTTTTTGCTTTCAACAATAAAACACTGTATGTAATGTGTGTGAAATAGACAAATGCGGTTGAAAATAAAAAAAGTTAATCACTAGCTATGTTAACGTTGAATTCATGAATTTCTTAAAAGCACTACATGAAAAAGGAATCATGAAAAGTCAAAAACTACAGAAGAAAATGTAATTAGATCAAGTTCATTGTTTAAATGTTTGCCAACTTGAAAACTTGTGCTCAAGACTCTTTTGAAATAATGTGAAAAACTGAATTTTTATGAGTAGTTCATGTAAAGACCAGTCACTAAGTAAGTGCTAAATTAAATATTACTGATGTCCTCTGCAGAGGAAAAAACTTCAATAAAAGTTGTCTTAATGCTAAAACATGATGCAAGCTGCTGCGTTAATTTATTTTTGTTGAGCCCAAACAGCCGGAGTGCATCCGGCCCTGGACCTTTTGAAGGTGGAACCGCCATGTTGCCAGTGGATCGTTTGGGTTGCAGAGTGGGACCTCTGTTGATCACCGTGTTAAATCAGATTGGGACCTGGAGAGTTTGGAGGCCTGATCAACGCATTCAGCTCTTTCTTCCTTGAGCTGTTTTTGCAGTGCAGTAGGGCACATTGGTAGCTTGTGTACAACTACTTCCCTGGTGTCAAACTACATAACCAGTGTGTGTATGCAACAAAACTTAGAACTGCATTTCACATTCCACAGGACGCTGACTGTCCACTACATCAAACAGATCATTTCGCATTCTGATGGGATTTTACTTCTTCCAGATAGTTTCTTAACTTGTCAGCATCACATCTCACACAGCAGCCGGAGTGTGTTCGTCTGAGCGCTCAGCTGAGGATGAAGGGAGCGAGGTGTTGTGATGTGAGGAGATCAGTACGTACCCTCTATTCCTCATGACTGCCAGAGGTGGTGTTTTGCACCTGGATACGTCTTCATGCACACGCGCACATCTGGTATCTGCAACACAGAATGAGAAATTCAGTCCAAACCAAACCAACGATCACTAATTTCACTTCTATTTGGCTAAGAGCACACGGAGCACGGAGTTAAATGAAAAATGTCCTGCCTCCACCCATTTTGAATTACAAAGCATCACACCGTGGAAATGTCTGAACAAACCCACCGACTGATTTTCAGCTCCTGAGCCCAGGGAAAGGTTCATCCACTTTTTAGTTTGCATGACAAATGGAAATCAGTGCCTGGCATGCAGCGGCAAGACTGCGTGCTCAGTTCAAATATACCCACAGATGAGAATAAAACACAACCCGTCTGTGTAAAATTGTTCCTCTCTTTGGCTGATTAGAAAAGCACCCTGGCGAGTTTGTGGATGCTCTTGAAAAAAACGAGTTTCATATTTGAAAGTCAGAGTCCGGGTTGACGTAAACACGACCACCATTGTGCACAAACTTTTCAAACAAAGCATTGCAAAGGACAACTCTCACCGAAGGTCAGTGATGCTAAAAACCAATCCATCCATCCACTAACTATGCTCGTCTTCATCCTGTGGAGGGTTGGAGCCAGTGGGACTGAGCTCTTGGATAAGTGGATAAGTGGGTCAATATTAAAGTCCAGTATTAACTTATCACTGAAATATTAGAATCTTTATAGACATCAGCCAATACGGAAGAGGAAAGTCTAATTTGTACAGTTTGTCCATCAGAGAACACTGACAAGTATACTTTAACTGTAAATATCCACCTTAGCATACATCTCAAGTATGAAAAGTCTGAGCAAGACAAAATTGCGGGTTTATTTTGTCCCGTACAGCATATAGACAATCCTGTTAAAAAATGTTCAGATCCATGATGCAGCACCATCAGAGAGGCATCTGATTGCTTCAAAATTCAATTCTGCGGCAGAAAAAGCAAGTCATGAAGAACTATGTTCAGCCACAAGAAGCACAAGAAGTCATGAAACAAATCGTATGGTCATCC